GTTCGTAAAAATGTCTTTTCCAAGAATTAAGTCCGGGGTAAAAATATGATCATCCGCAACGTAAAGTTCTGCCGTAATTTCAATATCATCAATCGTAAGTTTTGTTGTCAAGACTTCTTCGATTACACACGTTCCACCACAAACTCCACTGATACGTAACTTGCATTTTCTAATGTCGACTCCTAGCTTATACGCGACTGTTTTATGGATCATGCTGCATTCACTACCGGTATCAATCAAGGCATCGTATGTAAAACCATTTATGGTGACAGGTTTATGGTTGAGTACTTTACGTACGCTACAAGTTTTTGTTTCTGTACGTCCACAATGTGTCGGTGAATTTTTAGGATGAACTTTGTGACAATCTCGGCATCGTTCTCTTCGCGGTGGTTTTGGGCATTGACTGGAAATATGTCCTGGTTCGGAACAATTGTAGCACATTACCTTTGGGTCCGCTTTCTTACGCTTATCGACATCCTCCTTGGTGTACGGATCGCGTTTCCCTGTTGAAGACATTAGATTTGACCTGTTGCTACAATTAGCGATGCTCGCAAAATATTGTCCTGATGCTTCACGTAACCCTCGCATTGCTCGAAACCGTATTGGTGCAATTGCTTGCTGTAGCTCACGATGCTTCAATCCGTCACGAGTATATTTCACTGCCGCTGTTTCACTGATACCATACCGTCTTCCCAGTGCGCTCATTCGAAAACAGTATTCGCTGATGGATTCGTCTTGCCGTCGTACGGTTGATGTCATTTTAAAATGAATATCTGCTTCATCCGCGTTTGTGCTGAATTCCTCCATTAAGGCGTTTGCTAACTCATTCCACGTTCCGAAAAATTCTGGAGTCGAATCAAGCCATAACTTTGCTGGGCCTTTTAACTTTCTATACACGGCGAGTAGCAAAAGAGTTTCTTCACACTCGTAGGCTTGTGCTGCTTTCTCTACTCTATCGATGAATTGTTCTACGCCGAATGTTGAATCCTTTGTTGGATCGTACTCCGGTAAGATTTCCGCCATTTCTTGTACACTGTACGTTCTCTGGATGGGCTCGTAACTCGGTTTCTGGGTAAGAGCTGATTCATTCACCTTGGACTCGTTGCTTTCGTTTGCTGGTAAATCGACGATGGGTGTTGTTACTTGACGTTGTTGTTGTATGATTGACATCACATTTTCCATCATATCTTTTAAAGTATTAATTTGGGATTGTATTGACACTTCCTCCTCTACGCCATCAATATCTTCACACTCGACCTCATCGCTACCTAAAGCTCTAGATAACCGTTCGACCAGTTCACTTTTCTTTCCCATCGTGTCTAATTTTCTTTCGCGAAGTAACCGTTTTAATGTATCAACTTTTAATGATGTTATTTTCGGCATGTTGTTTCGTTTTGATCTCTTTTTAATTGTCCCTCCGTTTACTAATCGTTTAGCCTTTTTCGTTTTCCGTCCGTTTTTATTAGTTGTTTATGTTCGATAATTATCGTTTTTTTTTTTTTTTTATTTCGTTTCGTTCCTATTTATTTTCCATTTGAGTCGTTTTGCTTTCGTTTCCAGTTACGTTTGAGTTGTTGCACTTCATATCACATTTTCTGTTGTTCGTTATTTCTTTGTTGGTACGTTATCCTCTCTTTCCTTTTATATTCTTCCAAATCGTTATACCGTTACTTTGCATTCCTCACGTAGGCGATCGATCACATTATGAAGTTCTTAAACGTATATATGTTCGTGTATGTTCACAAAAAATTTTATACATATGTACGTATATGATTTTTTTATGCAACAATGCGTTTTCCGTTTATAGTTTTTTTTAGAACTTCTTTTTTTTGGAATACGACACAATTACGTTTTTTTTTTTATACCCTCCACCATACTATGGAGGGTATATTAACTTTGTCATTCCGTTTGTAACTCCTCGAAATACTCATATCAGACCCAACAAAGTATATATATTCTAGATCAGCGTAAAATTCTAAGTCGATTTAGCGATGTCCGTCTGTCTGTCTGTCTGTCCGTCTGTCTGTCCGTCTGTCTGTCTGTCTGTTGTAATCACGCTATCTTTCGAATGAATTGAGATAGGTGGCTAAAATTTTGCACACATGTTTATTTTTCCAGTAGGCGGGTTAAGTTCGTAAATGGGCGATGAAGGTCCACGTTTTCATATAGCCCCCATATAACGGTACCTCCCTATATTCGGTATTTTGATGATTTTAGCGACATTATTCACGGGAATTGTTTCAAATTTGGTATTTGAAGTTCAAAATGGATACTACACCCTAAGACGGAAAATTATCCGTGCAGGTCCACGTCTTGGTATAGCCCCCATATAACGGTACCTCCCGATATTCGGTATTTTGACGATTTTAGCGACATTATTCACCGGAATTGTTTCAAATTTGGTATTTGAAGTTCAAAATGGATACTACACCCTAAGACAGAAAATTGTCTGTGCAGGTCCACGTCTTCATATAGCCCCCATATAACGGTACCTCCCTATATTCGGTATTTTGATGATTTTAGCGACATTATTCACCGGAATTGTTTTAAAATTGGTATTTGAAGTTCGTTATGGGAACTACAGTCTGTGGCAGAAAATTGTCTGTGCAGGTCCACGTCTTCATATAGCCCCCATATAACGGTACCTCCCTATATTCGGTATTTTGATGATTTTAGCTACATTATTCACCGTTTATTTCAAGTTTCGAATTTGAATATGGTAGTGGCTTATGACAAACAAATCCTATGTATGTCCACGTCGTATAGACCCCAAAATAACGGCTATATTCGGTATTTTTAAAATTTTAACAGAATTTTTAAGGATTTTATTTTTTGAAAATTTCCAAATTCGTTGCAAATGGTGGAGGGTATTAAAAGTTCGGCCAGGCCGAACTTACTGCTTTTTAACTTGTTATTATTATTTCCGATAGCCGTGAGCGCGTTTAATATATGTGGATATTAAGATCCCACTTCTGAACTAAAAGATTAAGAGAATAACACTTGTGCGTTTGTCAGGATTTACTTTAATGGAACATAAAACGTTTATTGATTTAATTCATATTACGAAAATATAAAATAACAAAGGAATTGTTCGATGTGAAAACATAAAATAATTTAAAAAAACTAAACGAAATGGAATGCGCGTATGCGCTACGACGTCTATGCAACAACTGCTCGCCAATCCGGGCTGCTGCTACGTCTTCCTCTTCTCTTCGTTAAAAATTAATTCGATTTTGCATAGTTGCAAATTATCGTACTCTTACACTTTAAATGTGTAATTTGAAACTACTCCGGTGAATAATGACGCTAAAATCATCACAATACCGAATATTGGGAGGTACCGTTATATGGGGGCCATACGAAGACGTGGACCTGCATAGACAAATTTCTGCCTTAGGCTGTAGTATTCATTACCAACTTCAAACACCAAATTTCAAACAATTCCGGTGAATAATACCGCTAAAATCATCAAAATACCGAATATCGGAAGGTACCGTTATATGGGGGCTATACGAAAACGTGGCCCATTTACAAACATAACCTGCCTACTGGCAAAATAAACATGTGTGCAAAATTTTAGACTTATTTCTCAATTCGTTCGAAAGATAGCGTGATTACTACAGACAGACGGACAGACAGAACGACGGACATGGCTATATCGTCTTAGAATTTTACGCTGATCAAGAATATATATACGTTGTTGTGTCTGACATGAATATTTCGAGGAGTTACAAACGGAATGACAAAATTAATATATCCTCCATAGTATGGTGGTGGGTATAACAAGTAAAAAGGTATCGGCCGGTTTTGCCGACAGATGTATACACTCAGCCAATGTTCGATTTTTTTAAAATATTTTGAATTCTGTTATGATTATTCAAACTCTTGAACCCTATGTGCCATCTTTATAACAGATCTTGTTTTGATAAAAATATTGAGATGTACCAAGTCTAGAATGGAATCGGATGTTGATTTCGCTTTTTATGAGCTTTTCATGGATATTCAAAATTTTGAGCCTTTGTGGAGAGAGGAGAGGACCGATATGTCTCACCTTCACAACAGATCTTGTGCTAGCAAAAATGTTTGTATGTGTGAAATATAAAGAGAACCTGATGCTTATTTCGGTTTTATAAACGTTTTGGTTATTCAAAACTTTGACACTGTGGGGGAGGTGCCCGAAGGAATGGTCCGATCTCTACTGTCTTTATAACAGATCCTGTGTTGATAGAAATATTAGGATGGGCCAAGTATAAATAAAATCGGATGTTAATTTCGTTTTTTATGAGCTTAAGGGATATTCAAAATTTCGACCATTGTGGGGGAGGTACCAGAAGGAGTGGACCGATATATTCCGTCTCAATACAAGATCTTGGGTTCATAAAAATATTAGGATATGTAAAATGCAAAGACAATCGGACTCTTACATCATATATTATAAGAGTTACAATTATACAAAATCGGATTATCTTTTCTCTTTCTGTGCAGAAAATATATTTTTTGATAATTTCGAGATTTTGTGGGGGAGGTACCAGAAGGAGTGGACCGACATTGCGATATACCAAGTTCGGACCAAATCGGATACTCTTTCTGAGTTATCGTGCGCACCAGCCAGACAGTCAAACAGACGGACTGATATATACCCTCTCTAGCCATATAGCCGAGGGTATAAAAATGTATCCTTATCCTTTTGCAGCCATCTTATAAATGCTATCATGCGACAGTCCGTGTGAAGACCTTTCCTGTTGAGGCAAACAAATAAAACCGCTATGGTGCCGGAAATATAACAATGGTTAAATATTCATCAACCATATCTTACGATAATTTATAGCTTATTTGGCCAACGTTTTTAGCATTGACTCAACTTTGCAGAACCAAATTCGACCGACAAACAAATTAGACTGTTTGAAATATAAACTTTAGGCATACCAATGGTAAAAATCTGAAAAAAACGAGGCCAGTTTCCAAATTAAACCATTCTATTCAAATAGATTAAACCAATATTGTATTGCCCATTACTGTTTTATTATCAAAAATTACTAGTCGTTCCATTAGTCCACAATACAATTCTATACTTTAACATATTCATAATTCTACAATTAAATATGGGTATTTATCTTAATATTAGGTTTAGGTAATCCTTAATCTCCGCCCTCTTTCTTCTCCTTAATGGCATCCTGCAAATTACAATGAAATGTGTTTACGCTTTTGAATGTTTTAAAGATTATAAATTGTTGCCCGACTTACCTTAAATCTTTCTTCAAAGAGTGATAATTCAGCCAACAAATCAGTTATTGCATTCATGAAAGCTTCGTGAGGAGAATAGTCAGCTGTGGTCTGAATACGAATGACGAACTTGTGTTCCAAAGGATGTGGTACTTTGTAACCGGCAAACAAAACATTGGGGTCCTTCAACAATTGACTAAAGGAAAAATGTCAGTATCAATTTAAATAAAAGGGATTTAAAACATAGACTACTACTCACTTTCTAATCAAATTGCCCAAAGTGTGGTCTTCCTTGTTAACGGTGAATATGGCGGCATTTGTCACCTTAGTGTCCAATTCTTTGATAATTCTGTAGAAAACAAAATCCTGTTGTTACAAAAACAAATACAGCCCATAAATACTTACTTTTTCTCTCCTTCATATAACAAAAAGGATTCGAATGTTGGTGGGGCATTCATTTTTACTGTTTATTGTCGGTACCGCATAAAACAAATGTAAACTCAAGAAATTTCGTGATTGAGATATGACGTTTGGTTTAGGGATATGTAAGTCGACTTCCGATAAATCGAATAATCGACTTTTAATACTCAAAAATCTGAAACTCGACTATGGACTTGGGTGAAAACCAAGTACTCGACTATTCATAATCGATTTCATGGTAGAAGAATACAGGTAGTCGCATCGACACAGCTGCTGGGACAATGAACTGTCAAACAAATTTTGCAATTGAAAATGTTGAATGAAAAATTATTTAAATTTTTAAGAATTATTGAAACACGCGAAATGCAATAACCTCCGAATACTCGCTTTCTGTCAGAACTATTCAAAATTAGATGCCACAAATTGTTCTCATTTCATTGATTTTTTTTTTCATATTGAAAATGAATTAAAATGCGCCAAAGTTGAATAAAATGTACGGATTTTCTCTTAAAGAAATTATCCAAACTGTTAATTTTCAATTCCACGCCAAAATTGATTAAAAAATTTCATAACCTCCCTTAACGTACGCTTCTTCCAATCATTGATTTTGATTTTTTTTTTTATTTCTCAATACTTTAAATCAAGGCAGGACAAAGAGAGTTCAATTGGATGTCTGAGTGTTCACGAACACAATTGTAAAAAATAAATTGTATTGTATTTTCTGTCAAAATAGTTTTTGTGAATCATGGTCCATATAAAGTCGGCCAATACGGCTACTTTTGACAATAAACTAAGTAATAGTGGCACTACTGTGATTGACTCTCTTTGAATTTTAAATCATAACCATGTTAGAAGAGTATAAGTAAACGCATCGACACAGCTGATGGGACAATTAACTATCAAACCAATTTTGGAATTGAAAATGTTGAATGAAAAATTATTTAAATTTGTAAAAATTGTTGAAAAAAAAGAAATCATATAAAAATCTTCTTATATTTGAAAAGACATTTCAACATTTTTAATATATCAATGTTCCTAAGCGTTGATGCATCTACCTGTATGTTTCTACCATGATCACAACCATGGTACAATGATATCAAGGTAGGGTTATGATACCATATGATTTTAATTTATTTAATTTTCTTGGCTTAATATGTCATCTTTATTTGTTTATGTATGTGTTTTCTTTTCAATAACAAAAAATTGTTCAGAAAATATTCAAATTCGGATGTTTTCAAAATGTTTATTTCAACGTATGCATCGACAAAATCTAGAGTTTTTGTAGCGAAATAATCCTTTAGAGATATATAGTACATGATTTTGAAAAGAAGTGTTGACCTTTCATTCAGTTATCGCGGTTTTCAATTATTTATTCAAAATAAATGCAACAAGTTGTTTGAATTTTTATTGCTTTGATAATAATTCTGACATTACAAGCCAAACAGGTAGACCTCTATACTTGCATTTTTTTCAAAGTTGACCTACCTTCTCTTCATTGTACCATGATCACAACTATGCTTTTTTACGGCAAACTTAAGCTGCTATCAGACGATAAGCTTTTTACATATGTGCTATCACTTTTATTATTCATGTGTTTTTCAGGGTGTATGTCAAAATTGCCAATTTACATATTACTTACACTCACACTGAAATGTAAAATTTTTGTAGCAATTCAATTCTTAAAATTTATGCAATCACACACTCATATGTTTTTTATTTCTTTTTGTTTCTATTGTTGCATATATATAAGTATTATGCGCGTTAATACTTGACACGAATATAATTCTACTTCCTAACCAACTTGTTGCATTTGTTATAAGTAAATTTAAAGCTACAAGACCTTAGCTTAAGGGTTGTGTTCTTCAAATATTATCAATCTGCCCTACCTTGTCGTTATTGTATTGTGTAAACCTGACGTTAAAAACGGCTCGTGTATATGTGAAAGATATTATTTGTTGTACGATATATCTTGTACAGAATATAGGCTGCAAATCTGTAATGTAGAAACGCCATTGTTTTCTTTTTCATTTCTTTTCAACAAGCAAGTTTTTATTTATTTATATATTTGTGAAATTTAAAATTTTTGTGGCAATTCATTTCCAAAATTTCGCTAAGATGTAATGATTTTGAACCAAAAATACCTTTCAATCAATTCAAGTCGGGAAACTTTTCAAAATGTTGTCGATTGCAACACTGATTGCCCGCCAAATGTAATTGTGCTGTGTTGTTGTTTTGTTGTTATTGCAGATTTTGTTGTTTGGTATCGGAGTAGAGAAAATTTATCATTCGCAAACCAAATTCACAACGTAGTTGCTTGTTGTCTGGTGGAAAATTTAATACTTTTGGCGTTAGTTTTGATATCGAGTAATGGCAAACATAAACAAAGTCGAAATCGCCGATGATGTACCAGAAATTGGGAAAGCCGTTCTAGATGAATCCAGTGTCACTATGCTTGATGTCTTGGAAGAAGAAAAGGAATTGGAGGAGGAATATGCAGCTGTATTGGGCGCATCTGACGAGAAGGCCTGCACGTATGCTCAGGGCCCTGTTAAACGCCAAGCTTTATATTCATGTCTGACATGTTGCCCAGAGGCTCGCAATGATTTGACTAAATGTGCTGGCATCTGCTTGGCCTGTTCGTATCAGTGCCACGAAAATCATGAATTGGTTGAATTGTATACCAAAAGAAATTTCCGTTGCGATTGCCCGACGGAAAGAATGGGTAGCTCTAACAGATGTCGTCTAAATCCTAGCTTGCTACAGCCTGTGGCCATTAATCAAAATAATTTGTACAATCAAAACTTCCAAGGACTTTATTGTAATTGCCATCGGCCTTATCCGGACCCAGAGCGCACATCAGAGGAGCTTATGTTGCAGTGCGGGATATGCGAAGATTGGTTTCACTTGCATCACATTGATGGTCCAGCAAACTCTCAGAGACTGATGGAAGCATCTAGTGAGATGATTTGCAGTGGCTGCATGGACAAACACGAGTTTCTCCAACACTACACAGGACTATCGTTGAAATCAGTGAATAATTTGAATGAGTCAGTAGCTGATGGAAACGTGACAATTGCCGAAGAAGTATCAGTATGTGAGGATAACGATAACAAGTTGAAGAGTGATTTGGACAAGAGTATTTCGGAAATAATGAATATGGGAGAAGCTGACGAGAAAACAGACACAGATAATGAGCCATTATCTAAGAAACCTAAATTGGAGACCGAAGAGCAGAAATCAAAATGCACGCGTCCCATCGATAAGGGGAATTACGAGAAAGGTAAGTATAGAAAACAACCGGCATTTTCTTATTATTTTTTGGCGTTACCTTTACAATTTGCCCAAACGTTCTTTCTAAAGTTTGCTTAATATTTAAAAATCAAATTATAGAGCAATATCCCTTAGCGGGCTTAATAAAAGCTAGGCCTAACTCAACGAAAATACTGTTAACACAAGTTAAACAATTAAATTACATTAAGGATTTAAGAGACATTACCTTGGTTGGTCTTATAAACACTGGAAATATACCAAGCACAAACGGATCTTTAGGGGCCCCATAGTAACCGTGGTAAATTTTTCAAAATTATGATCTTGTTCTCAAGAGAACAGTTTTAAGTAAAGGAACCAAAACGTCAAAACACCTAACTGTACTGACATAAAGTTAATACCAAGAAATGGGCCCTTCACAAAAACGTGTTCTATATACTACGAATCCAAAATGAAAAGTACAAAAAAATCGGAGACACACATTACGTGGCTTAAAGTTTTAAAATATTGAATATTTATGATGGCCCGTTTATGTGGTATTATAAAAGACGCGGAATTTATCTTTAAAATCTTTGTGCGAAGATTTAAAGAAACAAAACTGCAATACGGATAAATGCATGTGCAATATATTAAACAAATATTTCATTCCAAAAGTGAAATTGTTCCCATTATCGTTTAGAAACTGAAATGCAAAAGTAAAATTCCTTCAAATTTCAGTTTCTAAAGAAATGCCAAATTAGTGACTTTGTCTTCGTCATGTACAGGCTATACCAAACCATTCAACAATAAGAGCTCACCTTCAAAATTGACATACATTTGTACTTTCTATATGAGCTCGTTCGTTACATTTTTGTGATTTTACAGACGGTAGATATAAGCGATAATATAGTTTTTGAAAGCCATACAACGGTGGACTTATTAATATACTTTCTAAATTCTCTTGCTTGTATGTTGGCATTTCTGATTATTATTACAGGTTAGAAAACATTACAGAAATCTTGGTATTGCTTCAATTCTCCAAAAAATGTATATTTTATTAATCTTAGTGTATACTGTATACGGATAGTTAAATGCCATTTTCATAATCTAACATCTTAGGACTACTCTAAACGTCGTTTAATCGACGTAGAATTTTATGCTAATAACGAATATATGCACTTTACATGGCCTCCGACAAATATTTCGAGGTGTTGCAAACGATTTATGAATGTCAATATACCCTTCATTTTATGGTAAGGGTATATAACTACATCTCACTAAATATAAATTAGACTTCCTGCTAAAATCTGATTCAAAAGTCTTAACCAACAGAATAAATATGTATCGTAATTTTTAAAGAAACAGGAAACAGGAGAAACAATATATAAATTACTACTTCAAAAATCATTGAACACAACTATGGACATGATGTGGTTATAAAGATTAAAATGTATAATTTATAAAATAATAATAAAGAAAAAAATAATTAAACTGAGTCGTGGATACTGAAATCAGGCAGAAAAGTACAAACGTTTTATATTTATTTATTTTTCACTCAACGAATTCAAATCATAAAAAGTAAATCATAATTTTTCTTGCCATCGCCAATATAGAGAAATCCATGCTTGCGTGAGTTGATTTTGTGAAAGAATGTCATTCCAAGCCACAAGCTGGATTTTATAACAACAATACGTTCATTTCGTTGAACGTTAATAGAGAACGAATAGCCCTTTGGAACTAAATTTTCAATTGAATCTAGAAAATCTATAGGATAGTTGTAATCACTGCGTTTAGATAAATTTTCTTTTAAATAATTGCGAGGCAATCGAAAATGTTGATAGTAGGACAGATCTTCGCATTGTAACTCATTCAAACCACGAAACATATGGTTCTGAACAACACGTCCATCAGTTAATTTATATAGAGCTCCACGAGGACAAATGACACATTCTTCGGTTATGATAAAAACAATAGCTGCTAAACGTTCCTCTTCCTTAAGTTTAATTTCTTCCGGTAGAGTGGCAGATATGACTTGATTTGCATCACATTCAAATGATGGGTCCTGTTGGTTGTTCTATGGATTAGTATATCTTTGTCATTCATTAGCTGATTTGTTACATACCAATTTCACACACTTTATTAAACTGGGATCCCCATTGAACGGCTCGCGGCACAATATTGTTGCCTGAAAAATCTTTGCATTTTGTACGAATGGAAGCATATACCACTGATATCCGTCTGTGCTGTAAAAGTAGTTTCTGTCTTTCAGGCAGTCACTAAGGTACCCAAATGCAATGTAATAATCCTTTTCTATTCCATTGATTCTGCCCCAGAAATAAATTCCGGCAAAACGATTTTCCGTTTGCAATGTTATTAGGGAATTTTCAATCAATAATTTCTGTTCTTGACTTAGTTTTGTACCAAAATACATAAGACAATCTAATGCCTCTTGGAAATAATCAATATTCATGTTGAAAATGTATTGATTAATTTATTTTCGTATATATAACAAATGTGAAAGAAGACAATATTAATAAAATTGCCTTGAAATAAGCCAACTTATCCCATAACAATAAAAATATATTTGTGTATTCATATAAAACCTAGCAATACAGTGCGTGAAGTGATTTTGCTATAGAATAATAATACGTAATATTTCCTTACTTAAGACTAATAAATGATTGTTTTCTGTGTAGGACCTACATTCTGGGGTACAGACTGGAGAAACTCACTTTGTCGTTGCCCGTCTTGCATGTTGGTTTACAAGAAGGAGAAAGTTGAATACCTTCTCGATTCTGAGGATTCGGCTAAGAGTTACGAAGAACGTGGTATGCAAAAGGCCGCTGCTGAGTCATCCTATGAGCAGGGTATACGAGCTTTGGCTTCAATTGATCGTGTACAACAAATTGATGTAATTACCGAATATAACCGGATGAAAGACAAGTTAAAGGACTATTTGCAGACATTTGTTGCTAGCAAAAAAGTTGTTACTGAAGACGATATAAATCGTTTTTTTAGCGAAATTCGTAATGAGAAGAACGTTGAGATTGGTGTGCCACATTTTTGCCGTTAATGCATGTAAAACAATTAAAGGACATATTTGTTATTTTGAGCATACATACATATTCATATACATATACATCTATTCAATTTTATTTTAATTTGTTCTTTGTTATGGTTATTGTCTTAGCATGTGTATTATATGACATTCCAAAATTTCATTCAAATAGATTATTCATGTAAAGAACATTCGCTAACACGTGAATGGTCTAGCGCCGCATTCGTAAAATAAAGAACATTTTTGTAATATTTATGTTATTTTTCATGTAAACATTAAAACAATTATTTCTTTCAATAAATCAATTTTCTGTATTTTATTGCATTTATATTTCCGCAAAACGGAAATTTCAGGGTTTGTGGTTGATTAAAGACTTCTTAGATTTCCAGAACCTGCAAGAATCTAACAGTTTTGCAATATTAAGCATTTTTTGCTTTATAACTAAAAATGATTTTTCTCGAACACATAAGAAAACTATATTCCAAGCATCGAAGCCAAGCTAATGTATTGTCACTTTTAGAATATACAATGGATAATGTTTATCAATTTCTTTGTGGTAAGGCAAGATTGTCGTTTGCATTGAATGTTTTTATACCCTTCACCATGATTCATAAATGACTATGTCATAGTAAAGCCATATTTACTGACAAAATCAATCTTATTATTTGTCTGTCTCATTTGGTTTAATTTATTTTAATTTATTATAATTTAATGTTATTTTCAATTATATGAAAATTGTTTACAATAATTTAAATTTAGTTGATATTAACTACAACATATGTATAAACCATGGTACGATGAAGACAAGGGCAAGTAAAATAAAGTTGAAAGAGATCTACTTGTAAGAATAATAATGTCAAAATGACTATCAAAACAAATGCAACACGTCGTTTTATATCAAATAAAAAGAATTACTTGTTTTATAAATCAATAAAAAACCCGAAAACGTAATGAAAGCACAAAATTTACTTTCAGCATCATGCTCAATGTATCATGTACTAAACATTTTTTCGTCATAAGAGGTCAGTTGAAAATGTCCATCTTCGGTTGGCCACCAGAACTCAAGCGCCGGCCATGGTGATAGTGTGGGCCGCCATAACAGCCGATGGTCGCTCTCCGCTCGTATTAATCGACCGTGGCATCAGAATAAATGCCGAATATTATCGCGAAAATATTCTGGAGGGTGTATTAAAGCCTTGGGAATGCAAACATTTTGGCCGAAGACCTTGGACATTCCAACAGTACTCAGCACGCGCCATCCAAGAATGGTTACAAAATGAGGTTCCTCGCTTCATTTCCAGCGTACAATGGGCACCAAAATCTCCGGATGCCAATCCGTTGGAGTATTTTGGAAAGCAAGGTTTGTACTAAAAAATACCAAAGTGTCGATCACCTCAAGCAAGTGCTTCGCCGGGAATGGGCCAAAATACCGCAGAGCAACATTCGGGCAGCGTGTGACAGTTTCATTGGCCGTTTGAAGGCCATAATTCGTGCCAAATGTGACCAATTTGAACAAATCTAAACTTATTCTAAAGTTTGATGCTATTTCCGACACTTATTGCTTTCATTCGCTAAAATTTAAAAAAAAATGTAAAAATTATCGCGTTTGACTTTCATCTTAATTGAATAATTGGTGATATGTATATCTGACGACTTACCCAATTTGTTGCATTAATTTTTCAATTTTTGCCAATGCCAATAAAAAGGTAAGTAACGGTTCTTAAAACAAGTCATCCAAATAAGTCAAAAACTATGTTCTTCATTTTTGTTTGGAGCATTTATTTACATAAAATTTTTGTTTAAATTTTATTTAGTATCACTAAATAACAACATACACTCTAGTCTATGGGTTTATTGCAAGGAATTTTCTTTTCCAATAAAAATAAACTTTGGATGAAGAATTTGCATTCAGAGTTAATCGATTTAAATCAATTTTATAAGATTTGTTTCCTTTTTATAATTAGTACTTTGGGTGAGCCACTTTAATTTTGGGGATAACTACACATTACTTAAAGGTATACTTGTCAATATCGGCAATGTGTGGAAAACTTTTTTAATTTCCTCTTTTTACACAGTTGTTAATTTTTTTTGAATTAATGTATATGCTTAAATTATTCTTGCCCTAATAAAACAAAATAGGTTGAAGCGAAAGGTAATACACATCAGATTGGAAATTTTCATTTTTTATTGGATAATAAATTCGACCTGCATTTTGTTCACAAGAATACATGGACAGGCAGACGGACTGAAAAATTGATTCTACGAACTATGGGTATATCTCACTTCCTTCTCCATGTTACAAACCCAAAAATTTAACATTTTTAAAAGATCCATATTTAGAAGTCAGACATGTAAAAGAAGAGTAGAGTTTATGATAGGACGCGTGACTAATTTGGTCATGTTTTCCTTATATTTGTCAAAGATTTTAATGAATATGCAGTAATTTCAATATTAAAACAAACATTTTTATTTATTCAAGTTTATTTTTTACTTGTCTACTTAATTAAAAACAATTTAGGAATTTCGTTTTTCTAATTACAAAACTTACAGAAGAAATTTGTATTACAACTACCTCTAAATTTGTGCAAATCTAAAGAAAGGGTTGGTGTATTGAACTTAAATTTAAAACTTATTTATATTTGATTTTCATTTGTGTATATAATAATAAAATATCAACAAAATTGAGATTCATATTCGACAAACTCCGACTTCCTTGACCATTTGGGGGCATTTGTTTCTATTGGCACACAATTGGGCCCCGTGATGTTTAGGGTCCCAGTTCAATTGCTTCGCCTTAGGTTGAAATTGATAAATTAGAAAGGCGCAACTCCTCGGAATTTATGTTAACGAAATTATCGCTGTCGATCTGTAAAAGAGTGTTCAGAGAAACGACAGCATCGTTAGTGTCGTTTATTTGGGGGCTTTGCTGGACATGTGTTTGCTGTTGAAAATCTTGATACTGGTAGTGGAACTGATGATTACCAACAATGTTGAGATTGGAGACGGCACTTGATGATGAGGTACTTATATTGTTGGGTAGAGTGGTAATATTTGCCAAATTCGGAAATTGTGATGTGGTGCAAAGATTCCCATTGTTATTAGCATTGGGATAGAGTGGTGTTATACTGCCACCACTTGTTGGATTGTAGAATGGATTTGTTGACGGTGAGGTTGACAATGTATTCAATTGATTTATGTTCGAAAAATCTTTGTTGCCATTAAGAAATGGATTGTTGTTGTCATTGTTGTTGGCATTAGATGGGGCATAGTTGGTGTTGCCGTTAATTTGAATTTGATTGTACGAGTTACACATTTGAGTCTGACTATCTGCACTGGGTGTTTTCATTAAACCTGGCGATGGTGTCATGCTGTTGCGATTCATGGGTGATGCCGGCTGGGGTGACGGTGACATTTGATAAGGTGTTCTATATGTTCCACAATAATTTGGCGATAAAACTAAAACAATATATATAAAATAATAAAAATAATTTTTAGCAAAAGAGACAATTACGAGTTCACATTTCAACAAAATTCAAAATTGTAATGTATATAGGTTATCTTTGTTTGCTAGCACTTACAGGGCTCATTTTTAATTTCTGGTACTGTTCCTTGTGTGGAGGCTGGTGAAAGAGATGCTGGTGGTATATTCCATGTTGTGTTTATTGCTAAGAAGATATTGACAAGCTTTAGTGTGTGCTCATATATATATTAACGTACATACAAATATTTCATGCAATATTTAAGAGGTGAACTGGGATGAGAAGTTAGTGAGAAAGCCGTTACAATTAGTTTATGTTGACCATTTGAAATATGTAGGTATAAATTTTATTTGTTCCTCATATAAATGTGAGATCTTTTTCACTTTGATATGCTCTAAATGTATGCAGAGCTATGAACTAACTATGCAATTTAAAATTAAAAATTACATTAATTCTTATATACAAGGTGACGCAAAAGAAATTAGAAAATGCTATAAATTTTACGATTGACATTTTTGTAGTAAACACATGCGAAATACATGTTGATAAACAATGTTACGTTACACTGCTCCAGAACGCGGAATATTGGTGACTACTTATTTGACCAAGAATAGGTCGGTGATTTTGGCACCATGTGAATTTCGTGGCAGATTTCCTGGTGCTGCCAGGCGTCCAGACCTCGGAGTATCCGTTCTGCAGATGCTGTAACCGAGGATGTCATGGAAGCGCCGTCGACATCGACCAGACGACGTGGCACAAGATTTGAAGATGTTTCCGTACAAAGACCAGATGGTGCATCAGCCGTTAGCTGCTGACCATCAATCGCGTTTTACATACGCTTAGGCCATCCTTAATCGCCACCAAGAAGAATATGATTGTTCATCAAAAACAATCATGAGTGATGAGGCCCATTTCCATCATAGCGGGTACGTAAATAAGAAAAATGTACGCTTCTGGGGCACTGAAAATCCGCATATAACTCACGAAGAGCCATTACCTGCTCAAAGTCACTGTATGGTGTGCTGTTTTTTGCTGGAGGAGTCATTGGAATTTTTTCTTCGAAACGTCGCGGGCCGAACGGTTTTTTTTTGCGCGACCTGATGAGTTGGGATGGGAAAACATGTGGTTCCAACAGGACGGCGCAATGGACACACTGCACGTGCCACAATCGATATGCTGAAGGATGCCTTATTCCCTGTTTTGGCGATTTGCACTGGCCAGCAAGATTGCCTGATATCAATACATCGTTTTGTGGGGCTTTTTGAAGTCGCGGGTTTATGTTAACAAGCCTCAGACTCCTTTAGCTCTTATAGACAATATCCGTCAAGATGGAAAATGCAATAAAAAGGGCTCTAATTATAATAAACTGTGGTGGCGGACATTTACATGACATCATATTCTCGACTTGATGCGAAAAAAAACTTAAAAGACCAAATAAAAATAATCCAGAAGAAGAACCAAAGTTTTTCATTTATTTTTAATTAATTAATTACTACTTAATTCTCATTTATTTTATTGCAGCCAAATAACATCGGAAGTTTACTTTTACTTTGCACATATAATAGGTGAGTCTGGTTACCCTAAAATTTGTAACAATTGTTACTGGAAGTCGTCTGTTAACCCGAAAGTTCTGCAAAGAGAGCGGTTGGAGAGAGAAATTTTGACAGTTCTTTCATTGAGAGTTTGGAATTTCTTGCTGGACAAAATTTTTCTTGCAATCACCTGCAACTCTTCATCTTCTCATTCATCGACATTCAATCAGAGGTATTCTATTGTTTGCTTATATCTTTTTGTGCTGTCAATTTGAAAATATTTTTTAGGAATTAGGAAGATTAACTATTTTTGAAGAACAACTTTACAAAATGTGAAAAACGTAAATATTAATATGTAATAAGAAAATAAAAGACTATTTCTAACATTTTTAGACAAAGGCGATTCGCAACATGTTTAAAGGATTCCGGGGAACACATCGAATCTATCTTTCTTTTATTGCTCATATTTCTTTTTTATTGCTAGTTTCTTTTTTATAAAACTTGCAAAATTTGTGGTGCTTCTTTCTTTTAATGGGGGACAAATCGGTTTGTTTTGACAAATCAGCTGATTAGTTGCAAGCTTCTGCAGGAATACCGTCTGTTTACTTTTCGCATTTTCTTTGCAAAAGAGAATAAAACTACCTTACTCTCTCAGAAAGAAGTTGCTGGACAATTAATGCTGGAAACCAGACACACCTAATGTATTTTTTACGTAAAAATTTGATGCACATTTTTTGTCTCAGCTAATTTAGTTATTTTGTTTGAAGTAAGAAAAGTTAATCGAGATCGAAATTTCCATGCAGTCAGTTTGGATTATCGAAGCAATGCTGGGGTGAAAATATATACAAAAAGCTATAGAAAAAAAAAAATACATGCAAATAATATCTATGTTTAATTTTTTTTTATAACAATTAGCATATTATTAAGCCTATTTGTTTGTTGCAATAGTATGACATCTTGATTTCAATATAACCTTTGGGAAGTACATTATGAATATACACCAAATAACCTAACATATTCTTTTTAAGAATTTTTGATAAACAAATTTTGATCGCATAAATTAAAGCTGAACAGTATGGAATTGCAAAAAACATCGATTTCTTCATTGCTCACAGATAAAATGACAACTATTGATTATACACATGTTCCTTAAATTGTGTTCGTTCGTTCGGATTATCAAAAATCATTATTACAACAATAACAACATCCATGCGACGCTATTACCGCAATTTCCGTCTGATACGTATATCTGCCGACTTACCCAATTTTTGCATAACATTTTCAATTTTTGGCGATGCCAATAAAACGGTAAGCAACGGTTCTTAATACAAGTCATCCAAATAAGTCTAAAACTATGGTCTTCATTTTTGTTTGAAACATTTATTTACATAATTTTTTTGTTTATTTTTTTTTTAATATCATCAAGTTACAACACATAATCTGGTTTATTGGCTTTATCGCAAGGAATTTTCTTTTCCAATAAAAATAAACTGTGGATGAAGATTTTCTTTTTGTAATTTGTACTTCGGGTGAGCCATTTTAATTTTCTTACATTTCTTAATGCTAGGAACACAATTGGAGCGAACGACGAATTTTTTCGCGGCGCATGTTCGTCGTCAAAAATAAAACACATATGTGTATATGGAAGTGCACACAATCACGGCACCGGCGAAAATTTCGTCGGTCGCCGCGAACTCAATTAGCTTTATTTCTATTTCATACGCCGGCGACCGGCGAACAAAACAGTACAAGGTGGCCATACTTGTACGAATTTTATGTGTTTTAGTAAATAAAGTTACTTTTTACTTTAAAATTTGTTATGGTCACTCTACTATCTGTTACTCGTATAAAAAAAACATAATTAATTTGTTTATTTATTTGTGTACTTGCGCCTGAGTGAAGATGGATATCAGTGAATTTATAATAGAGAAGATGGACATAAGTGAAATTATAATAGAGAACGTAAAGAATTATGTGTTCTTGTATAATTCATTGTAGTCAACAAATGAGCAAAAAGTAAACAACTTCATCAGCTGTTTTATAATTTCGTCGGTATTGTGTTCCATACGACGAATTTTCGCGGCTCATTTTGTCGCCGCGTAGGGCGAAATTCGTCGTTCGCTCCAATTGTGTTCCTAGCATAAAGGTGTGCTGGTCAATCTTAGTAAACTTTTTAATTGCTTCTTTTTAAACAGTTGTTAATTTTTGAATTTATGAATATGCCTTAATAATTCTTGCCCTAATAAAATAAAATTGCTTGACGCGAAAGGTAACACACGCCACATACAAAACGATAAACTGAACGAATTGTTCAGTCGTAATTGGCTGCTATTTAGAGTTCTATTGAATGGGTTTAAGGACGGATATGTTTCATATGTATTAAAGAGGACTTTTGAATTTCGGTAGGAGTAAAGATACATGTTTTAAATGACTGGTTTAACGATATGACTTCATAGATTTCATGTTTTTTTTTTTGGTTACTCATAAACAATTTTACCTACATAAATAGATGATGGAGTAATATTCAACTATTAAAAATAGATAAATGAATAGAGTTAGTTATAAAGACGATATGAATGGAAGTTCCCATAACCAATGTAAAATTCTTGTGAAAATGACCAAATTCGTTCATATCTAAACAAATAAAAATAATGCAAATAAAAACAAAAAAACTTACAAATGTTACTATTGCTATTATTGTTATGCATTTTATCATATTGCTGTATTTCCTGAAGTATTCGCATAGGATTGCCACCAGTTCTAAGACGCTTTCGCTTAAATTGGTCTAAAAATAAAATAAATGCAAATTAAGTAGGAACTAAAAAAAGTTGCGATATTCTATATGACTGGGTTCAGACTAGGCAGTGAATATGTCAAAAAAAAAGAATATAATATTTTTTTTTTATTGAAGGATCTATTTCATAGATGCATCAGCCACAAACACCTCATCCTCTCCCGACTCATCAACATTTTCCTTTGACATTTTCTTAACCGTGTACAGAGCAAAATTATCCACTTCATTTAGGTTTGTACCCGACTCCAGACATATATTATATTCGGCCTGTGATAAGCGTTTTATGCCTTCGCGATCTGCAATTGCTACAAGTTCTAAATTGCCATCGGACAATGGAACATTGGCCAGCTGCAAAGCACTCAAGCTTCGCTGGTCCAACAGACCCTCTCCACTGTCGCCGTAGGCATAACTTGCCCGATCAATGGGTCGCGGTCCTTTAAGGGGTATATGGATGATGTCACCTTCACGATGGGCTGGACTTTTACCCGAAACACTGCTGGCACTACGACCTACTGGTTTGCCACTGGTTTTCTTTGGAGAGGTGTTTTCAATCGGACCAAATTGTAGTGACCTCAGCGAACGAACGGAACCGCGAATTGCCTCATTCAGGGAGAAGTTGCAAATGCTCGGCTCCTTAGTTTGATTACCAGCCGAAATGGTAGGTTCTGGTTTGCTTCTCCTGCGGGTAAAAAAGCGGGATATGAATCCCATTTTCTTGTTAGGAGATGGCGGAGGGCTTTCCTTCGGTGTTGACGTGATAGTGCAAAAAGTTTTGTGTGCTGAAGCTTCTATCTCTTTATCGATATCAGGAGCCACGACGTATGTATCCGGTGTAGGCGATTCATCATAAGTCTGTCGATTTTGGAGAACATGATCTGTTGAGGTAAATGTTATGTCCAATTCTCTAGAAGCTTTGCGTTTTGGTGGCAGTGGCGGCAACATTTGTTCCGGCACTGGTGATGGCGTTCGAGGTGGTAATGGCAGGGGTGGAGATGGTGGTGTTTGAGGTGGCTGTGCTTGTTCTACAGTTATTTCTGGGGTGGTGACAATTTTCACCGATCCCTTGGGAACATCGGGAATTTGAATGGGATTCTCGAATGCAAACTGTAGACTAGAATATCTTGCAGAATCATCGAATTGATCCTCCGGCGCAGTGACCTTTGTGAAGAAGTTCCTAACTGGTAGTGGTATGTCCGTAAAGTCCGATTCTATAGTACTGGTGGTGTCCGAAACAAATTCCCTTTGTCTGTCATTGTTGTGACCGAAGAGGTAATCCAAGTCCGGGGTGTCTGCTAAATCTATGTCCTGTTCAATGAGTTCCGTATTCATACGATCGTCATTGTACGATTTAGCGCTCAGCGAGCAGCTATCGCCTGTCTCAACTGTCAAACTGTCAATACGTTCGAATTCGTTTGATTTCATCCATTCCGTTATTTTGTCTACAGCTTCTAGTGGTCGCATTTTTTCCAATTCAGTGTTGCGTAAAATTTCTTCCATGGGCGTTGAAGTTTGTGTGCAGTCATCAATTGAAGTTAAATTAAATCGAGGTACTGGAAAGGCTATGTCCAAACTAGCGCTACGTCGCCCTTCCCTGTGCCGGCGATCGTCTACGGCTTTCATGTACTGATCAACGCCGTCGTTCTCCTCAATGTCGTCGGTGACCAAACTGGTGTCTAGACGCTTTCTCAACTCTTCGCCTTCATTGAGAGTGCCAGAGCTTCGGTCATGACGGGAGGAGTTGGTGCTTGTCGCCGACTCGTCCGTGTCTTCGTCATTGTCGAGGTCATTACCTTCTTCGTCTTGGTTCAACGTAATTTCCGAATACTTTGTCGCCGTAGTTTCGCTGTCCAATGACAGAATTTGCTGAAATATTTCCATGTCTTGTCGGCGCTTCAACTTGCGCTGAAGCCGTGGAAATGAACGCATACCTGGATCTGGATAGAATTCGAAATGCAAAGGATCGCTAACTTGGCTGAATGTGGGTGTTTGGCCGTTGGCAACCGGTTCACTGGAGAATCGAACAAGCTGTATGAAAACCTGCAAAGAAACGAAGATTTACAAAACGAAAAATCACTACTGATTGCGGATTCTGGTACCTGTGCCCTCTTCTCAATTTCTGTATTGTGATAGCGCGGCGTTTTGAAAGCTATTGCAGTCTGCTTGTGTATGTCCGTTTGTTGGAACTCTCCGTAGTCCTCCCAAATGACTTTTCCATCCTTTTCCTCATAGAAACGAATCTTGATATCATCTTTCGGTAGTTTTTCGCACAGCAGGAAAATAGTATCGCCACCGCTGGCTTTAGCCGAACAACTGCAGAGTCGACATATAACCAGTTCGTTTATGGACTTTTTGTCGTAAATGGGTTCCGTTACAACTGGCTTGAGTTTGTAGTATTTCTGCGACCCAACCGGTATAAATGCTTGGAAGCAGAGTCTTACAATATTCAGGTCAATGCTGGATGGTTGGTCCATATGCGCGAATTTGGCTAAATAAAAATGAATATTATTGAAATGTTGCAATTGTTTCGAAATGTCAATACTCACTCTTGAAGGGATCGACATTAATTCGCTCTCTCTCCTCCAGAGATGATTTTATTTCTTTCTTCTTCACACACTGTATACCCAGATTACTGAAAACGGCACGCATGGGTGGTCCCTTTAGTCGCATGGTACACACTCCGCGATCACACCCCTCCTTACCGACTAAATTGTGTGGGTGTGGTCGATAGGGTTCGTCGGCTGTAACACAGGATACAATGATTTTCACGTTGCCTGTGTAGCCGACTATTTCTATGGTGGGATATGTCTTATTATCCGGTGTAGAATTAATACCCGGTATCGATCCAGCCGAACGGCCCTCGCAAATGTAACGGAATCGCAATCCTTTGGGATGCGGCTGTTCAACGATCCGTATGTAGGGATTTCCTTCGATAACATTGGGCTGTGGTGATCGTTGTGATAGGCTGGTATATGTGGGTGAAGACGATGCCGATGATGACGACATGGAACCGGGACTAGCTACTGGCCGTGTGTCAGCTATAGTTTGGTTTTCAGTTGCTGGAATTTCGTTATTTCCCAACATTTGTAAGAGATCGTCTAAAATTATAAAAACATAAAATGGTAATTGAAAAATAAATCATAGAATATTACAGTTTGTCATAATCTGCCTCGTAGCATAAATTAGCAATAATTTTAGCTCATATGAGAATGCGTTTTGGTTGAACTTATGCACATAATTTGTATCAGGCCTAGGTTGGGAGTGAATATAGGTAATATCAGTCCGCTCTATGTGGCACAACTCCCACAATGAATAAAAATATTAAATAACCATAACTTTTCAGCCTAGATATTAAGTTGGTAACACTATTTGAACGTGCAATGTCTAAGAAAATCCGATAATTATTTGGATTTTAGGAGCCAAACAATTTTCGGAATGATTACTCTGTTACAGTGCCTGCAAGAATCTAATAGTTTCGCGACTTTCTTCGATGCTATAAAGAAACAAGTAAAAAAGCTGTAAGTTCGGCCGAACTTTTAATACTCTCCACCATTTAGTACAAATTTGGCAATTTCCAAAAAAAAAAAATAAATAAATAAAATACGTTAAAAATTTTGTTAAAATCTTAAAAATACCGAATGCTTATACGACGACGTGGACCTGCATAGGCAACTTTTGTCATAAGTTATTACAATATTTAAATGCGAAACTTGAAGAAAATCTGTTTATAATGTAGCTAAAATCATAAAAAAACCGAATATGGGGGGTACCGTTATATGGGGGCTATATGAAGACGTGGACCTGCACAGATAATTTTCTGTCTTAGGCTGTAGTATCCATTACGAACTTCAAATGCCAAATTTGAAACAATTCCTGCGAATAATGTCGCTAAAATCATCAAAATACCGAATATCGGGAGGTACCGTTATATGGGGGCTATATGATAACTTGGACCTACATGGCCCATTTACGAACTTAACCTGCCTACTGGCAAATTATACATGTGTGCAAAATTTTAGACTTCTATCTCAATTTGTTCGAAAGATAGCGTGATAACAACAGACAGACAGACGGACAGACAGACACACAGACGGACATGGCTAAGTGGTCTTAGAATTTTACGCTGATCAAGAATATATATATATATACTTTGTTGGGCCTGACATGAGGAGTTACAAACGGAATGACAAAATTAATATACCCTCCATAGTATGGTGGAGGGTATAAAAAATCGGTTATCGTATTAATAACTTTTACATTCTCGAGTTCTGGAACAGACCAAATCTTACCAACTTAATATCTAGGGTGAACATTTCCGCGAATAAACGGCGAAAGAGAAATATAATATAGTTCATAGAAAGCGAACGCAATATTACATTTTGTAATGATCAACATTTTGCCTAATCATCTCCTGGCACCCATCAAAATTGAAATTATCGTAAAAGTGGAATACATCCGGTACCTTCTCCAGAATCGTTCAAAATTTTAGTTTCAACTCTAAGTTTCGCATAATTTCTGTTGCATAATTCCTGTAAGAATCTACAAGTTTTGCAATGTTCATCGATATTATGGGAACATTTTTTTACATTGTTGTAGTTCTGGAATAGAGCAATAACTCATACAAAAGTAAAACCAGTAAACCAGTCAAAAGTCGGGCGGGCCGACTATATGGTACCCTACACCACTATGCGTATTTAGTAGAGCTCCCGTAGCAAAAAACTTTTGGGAATTTATGTGATGTAGATCATATCAACTAAGATTGCTGTATAGTGCATAATATGACTTCGATAAGGATTATATTAAAAAATATTTCTTGGAGCAATAGATATACCGCACTGAGTTTGAAACAAGTTAAAGAGCTGTTAGTTCGGTCGGGCCGAACTTTTAATACCCTCCACCATTTGGTACAAATTTCCAAATTTCCAAAAAAAAAAATAAAATCCGTTAAAAATTCTGTTAAAATCTTAAAAATACCGAATGCTTATACGACGATGTCATAAGTTATTACAATATTTAAATGCGAAACTTGAAGAAAAATCTGTTTATAATGTCGCTAAAATCATCAAAATACCGAATATGGGGGTACCGTTATATGGGGGCTATACGAAGACGTGAACCTGCACAGACAATTTTCTGGCATGGGCTGAAGTATCCATTATGAACTTCACATGCGAAATTTGAAACAATCCCGGTAAATAATGTCGCTAAAATCATCAAAATACCGAATATCGGGGGGTACGGTATATGGGAGCTATATGAAGACTTGGACCTATATAGCCCATTTTCTGTTTTATGCTGCAGTATCTATTACGAACTTCAAATGCCAAATTTGGAACGATTCCGCTAAATAATGTCGCTAAAATCATCAAAATACCGAATATCGGGGGGTACCGTTATATGGGGGCTATACGAAGACGTGAACCTGCACAGACAATTTTCTGGCATGGACTGAAGTATCCATTATGAACTTCACATGCGAAATTTGAAACAATCCCGGTAAATAATTTCGCTAAAATCATCAAAATACCGAATATGGGGGTTCGGTATATGGGGGCTATATGAAGACGGGGACCTATATGGCCCATTTTCTGTTTTATCCTGCAGTATCTATTACGAACCTCAAATGAAAAATTTGAAACAATTCCGGTGAATAATGTCGCTAAAATCATCGAAATACCGAATATCGGGAGGTACCGTTATATGGGGGCTATATGATAAATTGGACCTACATGGCCCATTTTCGAAGTTAACCTGCCTACTGGCAAAATATACATGTGTGCAAAATTTTAACCTTCTATCTCAATTTGTTCGAAAGATAGCGTGATTACAACAGACAGACAGACAGACGGACATGGCTAAATCGTCTTAGAATTTTACGCTGATCAAGAATATATATACTTTGTTGGGTCTGACATGAGTATTTCGAGGAGTTACAAACGGAATGACAAAATTAATATACCCTCCATAGTATGGTGGAGGGTATAAAAACGGTAAAATTCGGTTGAATATGAATAAATCTATTAAATTTGGGCTGATATTAAATATTCAGGGTGAGATAAAAAACTTTAACAAGGTCAAACACCATAATTGTTAAATTTTTTTAATTTTATTGAATGAAAGCAAGAATGTCGGAAATAGCGTCAAATTTTAGAATAAGTTTAGATTTGTTCGAATTTGTCACCTTTGACACGAATTATGGCCTTCAAACGACCAATTAAACCGTCACACGCTGCCGAATGTTGCTCTGCAGTATTTTGGCCCATACCCGGTATTTTTTATTTGGTATTTTTTAGTGCCAACCTTGCTTTCCAAAATACTCCAAAAACAATAGTCTAACGGATTGGTATCCGGAGATTTTGGTGGTTGAAGCGAGGAACCTCATTTTGTAACCATTCTTGTGTGGCGCGTGCTGAGTCCTGTTGGAATGTCCAAGGTCTGCGGCCAAAATGTTTACGTGCCCAAGGTTTTAATACACCCTCCAGAATGATTTCGCGATAATATTCGTCATTTATTCTGAGAGCGACCAAAACTCGGCTGTAATGGCGGCCCAAGGTTTTAATACAGGTTTTTTGTTGCGGTGTAAGTTCTTGCACTTTTTGGAATTTCAATGGCTTTACCCCGAACTCATTTTTAAATATTTGCCGAATGGAATATTGCGATATATTCAGCTAACGAGCCATTTTTCGGCCACTGCGACGTGGGTTTCGATCAAGTCGATTTTTTTACTTTTCGAACCATTTCTTCTGATGTTGCTGTTTTCTTCCGTCCATTTCCTTGAAGATATATATAGGAGATATATCTAAATTCAATTCTCACAAATGTCTATAGGGCTCGTCCTTGGACCAAACAAATATTGTTTGAAAACTTCATCTCAATCGGACCTGCAAATACATGGACAGACGGACGGCCGAAAGGACAGACGGACTGAAATGCATAAATCAACTTAAAAAGTGATTCTATGAAGATCCTTAAAAGTAACTATGAGTCAATCTCGCTTCCTTCTCAATGTTACAAACAAATGCACAAAGACATAATACCTTTACCACTAAGTGTTGCAGGGTATAAAAAATGCTAAGTGCCATGGACTGTAGGTATACAGTCGTCGATAATATTGACTGATATTGTTCATCATGTTTATGTTTACATTCATATTGGAAGATAAATGGTTCAGAATTAGTACTCTAGTAGCGGTATGATTATTAATAACACTACTATTTGTAATACAATCTGCTACAAGGTTAAGCTTTGTTGGAGTTGCTAAACATGTGCGTATGGGATTTTACAAAAATCGTGTGAATTAGTTTTCTATTGTTTATTTTATAGTGAGAATGACTTGACAATGTCATATGAAAAAAAAACATTATTTATATGCGAGCCACATGGAAGGGTTCTGTGATGATAAGCTAATTAAAAATTTAGCGAGACATGTCTGTTATATCGCTTCCACAAATTTCCTTACCTCCATAAGACAGGCTGAGAATTGAACGACAGAAAAGCCGTCATGGTGTATTATTATCCTGTCGATCTAGAAGCCTTATCCAGGAGATATGGGAATGACATTGATTTCTACCATCGAGTAACCTACGATTGTTGACTCTACATTACCACATTGTTGAATTAGTCAGAAAAAGCTGCAGTTACCGGCTTTAAATTAAAAAGTTCGACACTTTTCACCTCTAAGTCGGTTTGTGGTTAGAAATGTGGCATTGTGTGATGTGAAATGCAAATATTAGAGCTGTCTAATAGAAAGAAATCCGGCTTTACACAACACTGTTTACAAAAATGATGCGACAAGATCATGTTTATAATTGCTGTGGACCATAACTGTCGCAGTGAAGAAAAAGACTCAGCAACGTGTACTGATCTCACATGCAGATATTAGTTGTGTTCATGAATATACGATATAGTATTTATTTATTATTTTTTTGTATTATTTCTACAATTTCGAACATCATTCCCATACGCGAAAAAACTAGTAAAACCTGACGGAAACACACACATATGTGGCGGTCTGTTTTATTGTTTTTTAAGAAATCGTGTTCAAATGCGGTCCACTCCTTCTGGTGCCTTCTCCACAAAGGTCGAAATCGCAAAGGGT